GCCCCAGCCTGTACTGGTGCCTGGGGTTGTTCCTCCCCAGGTGCAGGACCCTGCCCTTGCCCTTGTTGATCTCCATCAGGTTCCTCTCTGCCCAACTCTCCAGCCTGGCCCAAGTCTCGCTGGACGGCAGCACTGCCTCCTGGTGTATCCACCACCCCTCCCAGCTTTGTGCCATCAGCCAGCTCACTGATGTGAAAACTGTGGCAGGGGAAGGAAGGGTTCTCTGGTACAGAGAGTGGAAGGTCTGACACATGAGCAGTTTTTGCGTTTAAAAGCGCTAACGAGTTTCCTAGTGGGCTGCATCTATAATCGTCACAGGGTATGGAATACCGGGCTCTGTTCGGCCAGGTGGGGTCAGCCCCCACCCCCCGGCTGTGCCCCTTCCTGGAGTCCGGTGAAAATTAACCCTGTCCTGGCCAAACCCAGGACATCCTCTCAGCAGGGCAGCTCCAAAGGTGATGGGCGCAGGGGAACTGGGACACGTGGCCTGCAGCAGGGACTTCTGGGGAGCAAAAGGCCGCTGGAGGGAGTTGGTGGTACCTCAGTGGCTGGAAATAGGGAGGAATAACAGATGTTGGAAACGAAGAGCTAGTACTTTCTGAGAACAGAGAATTTGATGGGGGGAAGAACTAACTCTGTTGTCTGAGACAGTGCTGGAAAGCTGCCATATGCTTCACAATGGCAATTAACTGTTTATTGCTAAAACTGGCGAAAGCATTAAATGCCAAATCTTTTGCTCTGAAAGTTGCTAGAGTGACCTGAGGCCTTTGCCAGTTGCTGAGAAGTGATACAGGGGAGTGATGCCTGCCGGGGCTTTGAAAAGGGAGAAAACCGTCGTCTTTTCTTCCCTGCCTGCTGATGTGGGACACTGCTGTGCCGCTGCTTGCGTGCTTGCAGGAAAGCGTACAGGTATTTCAGGGGCAGCTGCGGACCTATGTGGAGCCAGGGTAACTTTCTGCCAGCTTGTGATAATCCTTTATCAGCATTGCTGTGAAGTATACAGCTGTTCATGTCTCGCTACACATGAGTACCCAAAATGTCTGGTTTAGTTGTCCTGTTCGTGTTCTTTTTGCAATCAAATTATCAATGACATTCCGTCTTCTTTTGCTTCTAGATGAAGCTCCAGATTCTCA